AAAATAGCAACCTAGAAATTTTGTTGACTTGATGTTTAGTTTAGCAGTAGGCTTCAATGTTTTTACTTTGAACGCTTGCTTGACTAACAAGTAAGTAATGGCTTAGCTGACATACGGGTGCAATACGAGAATATATTATTGTAATAACTTTATAGTTTTAACCCAGCCAGAAGCACAATCAATAAAAATAAGCACAATTCAGGCGTATTTATACAGCATAAAAAATGTTCCTGGAAAACGTTAAAAACAGCATATCAAAAGAGACAAGGAAACAATATCATTTATGGTTCTCCAAAGTGGGAAATACGACGCGAAGGTGAAAATGTGCACGTTTGGCGAGTAATTCGAAATTTTAAAGTAGAGTTACAAACTAAGACGTTTACCAAGTGATTTCTAGTGATCTAACTTCCCCAACAGAATACTTAAGATTAATACTTACCTAAAACGAAATGATGGGATAGAAAATAAATGAACAACACCTCTGAAGTACATCATTACTTTTTTTCAAATTTTCTAATGCACTCGTGCGAGTATACGTGAATTTATGTGATGGGATACAGAGAGTAAAACGTGATATTATTACAAACTTTTGTGCAACAATAATTAAGAATGATGCTATGAAAGTCATAAGTCATTGCAAAAGACTATCAACTATAAATTTCTGTGTTATATATATATATACATACGGTGAAGATATAGTGAATCTGATAATTTAAGTGTGAAATAAGATCGTTTGTTCTTAGATATAGACTTTGGATGTTTAAGAGCAAACGAGGGATCGAAAGATGTATCTAATATGTTGAAAGACCAATCATATTGATAACTATCATAAATATGAACACAGACAGAATTCTGATAAGATAAACGAGAAAATTTTTGGAGGTTCTGCTTTGCTTTTCAGTCAGTTAGATAGATATAATAATATATTTCTGCAACGGCAAGTACGCATCATTTTCATAGGCATGATCTAAAAATTACAATATTTATTGGCTCACAGTATGCACGTTAAATAAATATAATCCATAGAAATGAATATCAGTTCATTCCTTCACATATACTGAGTGGTCTTCAAAATATTCTCAAAAGTGGCATCGCGTCTACGTTACACAGTAGATCCAATCTTGGGATAATTGTTTTAGGATTATGGTCGTGCTAAGTATTTATGCAACACAAATTTTAGGTTTATAGTTGTTATAAAGTAGACATGGAGAGCGCTTGATGTGAACTATGACTTTGGGAAAACACATACGTCTATTTTGTTCTAGACGTCAGAAGTTCCATAACCGTGCACTCAGAGCAAGATTCCGGAAAATAGAGAAACCGATGAGCAGCAAGGTACTTATATATTAACGATGAACTATATGTAGCGACCAAACAACCAATATTCAGTTGGAACAACGGACTGGCGAACCCAAAAGTTATTCGATTAAACCGAACTACATTCCTCTGTATAGCTCACAACGCGTTTTTGAGATACTCGTATTATATTACATCAAAACACAAACTCTGTGCTCAATTTAAACTGTTCTAATTTAGGAAATAGGACAAATTATGGTAGAAATACAAAATACCCCAAACAGTACAGCCTGTGCTATACAGTCAGAAGTTTTTCTAACACAAAGCAGAGCGCTAAACAATAAAACAAACAGTTAATACCAAAGAGTTCGATACCTGAGAATCAATAAAAATATTCCCCAAAAGGTGAGATCAAATATCTATCCGCAGGGATTCCAGCAATCCTCCCAAGTAGACAATCAAGAGCTTAACAATCACACATTGAACCACGTCGTAACCTTGAGTTTAGTCAAACACAACCTTACTGTCAATGGTCCGGCGACATGCAATGTTAACTTAGGTAACAAAAGATAAGTCTTTAATCAAAATCACATAGTAAAGGCTCAAACGAGGAAGACTGAAGAACAAAAGATATGGTTAAACGAAATCGGAACAAAGGTTAAAATACAAAACAGGCAGAAGGAACAAATAAATGACAATACTGTTCAACAAAGAAGCTGCAGAGGGATTTTCATCGTTCTCTTTCCGTTACACTATGCTTAACATTTCATTGTGGAATAGACAAAGGTATGATAAATAAATTAATGAAATTCATACTAGCTCTTGCAGCTAGAGTGAAATATGATCAGGTGCTCCAGATGAGAGAATGCAGTAATGAAGAACAATAAGTTGTGATATTTACCAAGGTGGGGTAGGTTCAAATGAAGGGAGGGAAGCCAGGGTTGAAATAAGGAAGACTGTTTATCAGAACAGAAAGTGCACATTCAGAGAAAAGTGTTAAGAAAACTGATAACTATTTTTTTCATTATCTGATTGTTTTTTCATCCGACGTCTGCCACACAGTCTTAATGTAACGTCCGAGTTAGCATGTTATAAGTTATCTTAGTAGAATTGCTAATCCAGCAAGACTGTGGAAACATGAGTCTGAATGGTGAGCGTAGGAGAACAACCTCAATATCATAGATCGATTGACTAGTTCTCAAACATGGCGGACCCTATTTCTATGAAACACGGTTAAACATATTGATATTCAATAGGTGACACAATCCACCTTCAGAAAGAAAATCATCAAGAAAACTTCTGAACCGGGTTGTAATTTTGCTGCAATTCACTGGCAGTCTGTTCCACATAGTTGAGTAGCGAACGACGAAAAAATTCTAGCGGGCCTACAGTCAGCGACATCACTACGTATTGAATCTTGGGGTGATAGAAGTGGTTTTTCGTATAGGTGGATAGGCCTCATATTCCAGGGATAGGTTGTGGTCGTTAACGATCAGGGGTCGCTTCATAATCATGAGGAGTGCATCATCCGACGTTCCACTAGCAGAGTTAAGGTAGAGGGGGCTGACTTTCAGACGGTCGATGTTAATGCCTACCTTGGTTCCTTTATTATGGGTGGCAACTGTTCGGATGAAGTATTTTATTGGTCCGTCGTATGCAACTTAGTAACTAGGCAACATAATAGGGTTTCCCCACTTGTTCCCATCTGTTTCGTCCAAAGTTTCAAAGTTGTCGAAGACACGTAGTTCGCTCCAGATAAAGGCAATGTATTAGAAACAGATTATGTGATTAAGTTCAACTGTTTGGACTTTCGAGAAGGGTACTTATCTAAAGACGAGTTGAGAGAGAGTAAAAGGATCATAGTCCGATGAACAGTGTGAATCCTCAGCCATCAGCAGAGTGCTGAAATTGTCGTGCAGTAAAATACGCAGATGGAGGTGCCCTGATAAAAGTACTACACATCGATGAAATGACTTGCAATCACCTCGAGAAGAATGCTAGATGTTGTCAGGCGTTATTTACTCATTGTTGTTAGACTACCTTGACTATCACTTTGGACTTACTTAATCGTCCAGTTTAGCGGGTGACACGATTTCTCGATAGGAAGTGAAACCAATCTCAGTTTATAAGACATGTGTCAAAGAAGTATTTAGCACAAGAAATTAACATTGATACCATGGGTTGGTCACCTCCCACTAGATCATAAAGAGTAGTATGGTAACAATTTGTTCTACCCAACAGATGTGACTGTATCGACGATTCTCCTCACCAACATGTTTGCTGGTTAGAAAAGCCGCCCTTCTTCCCCTTCTGATGCTAGGCTCCTTAAGTTTTTCGTATGTTTTAACAGGGTCCTAATCTAGGCTCCGTGCCGCACACCTTGTTATAACATATTTCCCTTGCTAATTTCAAGTTATGAGCAGATAAGACAGCTAAAGCTTCTGTATCATGGAATAGATATCCATTTAGTATAACACAGTGCTATGAAGGTAACTAATGATGTGAATCATAAGATACTGTAAAGATGAAATTCTGTTTGGGATTGATAATGATTGATAGCTGATCAATAAATATTCAGGATGAAGAGTTTAAGTTTGCAAAACCAATGCGTATGACAATAAGCAGGTATGAAAATAAAATATTTGAATACAAATAAATTTGGAGTATTGAGTTTTTCAGCTGGTAGAACACGGATTAGAAAGTATTCACAACAATTTGGGACAGCATGAGTATTCTATGACTGTCCGTATTTGTAGAACATCCGTTTGGTTAGTGAATTATCTGTTCACTTGAAATATAGATTAAAATGATATGTGAAACTTCGTGGATAAAGTGATGCACCTACAATTATTAAAGAAAACCTCACTCTGAGTGTAAGTGGTAGGAGAATAACAGTAGGACTAGTAATGAAAACTGGGTGGAGGAAACTTATTTATTTAAACATTAGGAATGCTATCCCATTTACCATTATCGATAGTGTATCCCATGAGAGTGGGACGTGTGAATTAGTTAGTTTCCGCTTAAAATGCAAGGGACAAGAGCTGCTGATTGGTTTGGTCTATCGCAGTCCAAGCTGTGAGGCAAATGAGATCCTGTTAAGCAGTCTCAATACTTGGTCCCAAAGTGGTCGATGTCTAATCCTAGGGGACTTTAATGCACCTATGGTAGACTGGGAAAATCTGCGAACTGAATCGTCAGAAAATTCCTTCGAGCAGGAACTAGTTGATGCGGTTATCACATGTGCCCTAGTGCAACATGTGAAAGAAGCGACTAGGTACGACCCGGACACTGAATCATCCTTATTAGATCTTATACTGACTCACTATGAGGATGATGTTGCGAACCTCCACCATATGCCACCCTTAGGTAAAAGTGACCACGCAGTTTTAACTTTCGACTTCCATATAACTGCCAGTCATGAGGACGCGTCAGTCCAGTCCAGACCCAACGTCTGGAAAGCAAACATACCAGACATCATGCACTCAGCATCGTTAATAGATTGGACAATAGACCCAGAGTCCTCCATTGAAACGGCCTGGGACGCATTTCGAAAATCATACTTAAAAGTTACCACACCTCACATCCCTTGGACTATACCAAAGGGGCCGAAAAACTCACCACCATGGTTCAGTAGGGAGGTCCGTATCCTTCTCCGTAAGAAAAGGAAAACGTGGGATAGATTTAGGTTACTGGGGACTGATGAGTCAAAATCTCAGTATCGAAAGGCTCGGAACACTTGTGCCTCGACCCTCCGTAAGTCTAGAAAATTGTACGAAGAAAAACTTGTTAAGGAATCCATAGAATGTCCTAAACGCTTGTATTCCTATATAAACCAAAGGACAAGGAGAAAAGGAAATATTCCTGCTCTATGGGGAGACAGTACTGCTTCATCATTAGTGGAGGACGACTTTGGTAAGGCTCAAGCGTTCTCGAACTACTTTAGCAACGTGTATACCATAGAAGCACCCTTCTCGTCAGCGTATACAGATCCCCCCATACATACACTGGATAGCGTGACCATTAAAGAACTCGATGTCTTTGGTCTGCTAAATAAGCTTGACATAGGTAAATCCACGGGGCCCGATGAATTACATCCTAGGCTACTGAAGGAATTATCTAACTTCGTTGCGAACCCTTTAAGTACATGCTTTAACCTATCCGTTACGCAGGGTCGCTTACCGAAAGATTGGAAAAACGCCATAGTAAGTCCTGTCTTCAAAACAGGCACGAAACACAAACCTGAGAACTACCGCCCCGTTAGCCTAACTAGTGTGGTTGTTAAAATCTTAGAAAAGATTATTCGGAAGGAGCTGTTTAAGTATCTCGATAAAAACCGGATCCTCTCGGAGAAGCAGCATGGCTTCAGAATAGGTTATTCTTGTCTCACTAACTTATTAGTGGCTCGTGAAAGCTGGTGTGCTCTTAAGGACCAAAAGCTACCTGTAGACGTCGCCTTCATTGATTTCAGTAAAGCTTTTGATAAAGTTCCGCACAACCGGCTGTTATATAAGTTAAGACATGTCGGGATTGGAGGCAATTTATTGATGTGGATAAAAGACTTCTTAGTTGGGCGTCAACAAAGAGTTCGGGTGAACTCAAAGTTATCTAGCTGGGAAACTGTGCTTAGTGGAGTGCCCCAGGGTACAGTTTTGGGGCCAGTGCTATTCCTCTTGTATGTAAATGACCTTCCTCGTCTCCTATCATCATCGGTCTTGCTATATGCTGACGATGTCAAGATATGGAGAACGATACGATGTAAGAGTGATAGCTTAGAACTTCAAAATGACCTGAAGAAGTTATCTGAATGGTCTCAAACATGGCAGTTGCCGATAAATACTTCCAAGTGTGTTGTGATGCATATCGGTCATCAAGGCACAGATACATACACGATGAATAACACTGAGCTACCTGTCGTCCAGACATATAATGACTTAGGAGTTATCGTTAGTCAAGACTTAAAGACTACTGCACACTGCCGTGCAATAGCCGCCAAAGGTTTTAGAACGTTATGGTCAATACGTAGGGCTTTTAGTCATGTCGACGCTAAGACGTTTTTGACTTTGTATACAGTGTTCGTTCGTCCTAAACTTGAGTACTGCATACAAGCGGCTAGCCCCTGCTTTAAAAAAGACAGTGAGCTTCTGGAAAAGGTTCAGAGAACGGCGACTAAGCTGGTTCCCGGAATAGCGAAGCTTCCGTATGAATCTCGACTGGCCAAGCTGAACCTTTTCCCGTTGTCATATCGCAGAACTAGAGGCGACTTGATTACAGTCTACAAATTGCTTAGTGATAAATTTGCACCTAACATGCCCTCATTTTTCTTGTCTTCCAAAACAGAGAATTTACGAGGACACTCCAAAAAAGTTCACAAGCCGAGAACAAATTACTTGTCAGCTGACTATCGACTTTCCCATCGAATCATCAACGAGTGGAATTCACTACCTCAGCACGTGGTTGAGGCTCCATCCGTCGACTCTTTCAAAAGAAAGTTGGATCAACTGAGAGACCACCATTGCCAGGACTAACATAGGCCATCGAGCCTCCTGTCCTTCCCAAACTGAAACTGAAACATTGATACGAGGCACCAAATACATATGTGCCACAAAAATCATTTGATCTGTGTGAGGGCTGAGATACTGTTCGGGTGCCCAGACAGAAGCAAGTTGTTTTCTTATGGACCCCACACTCCGAGCTGACTCAACCCACCGCCGGTCGTACCAGGGCATTTTGGGGTTATGTGTCTTATCATTTGATTATATATATGGCTGATAATAAAAGTCCGATATATTCATGATCCGTCTAGATATTAGGCGGTCCATAAAAAGTGCCCATGATTTGAGTAGGAGTTCTAGAATTAATTTATGAAGCTCCTTAGTGTCTAAATCAGGGTTATTTATAATAATAATAATAATAATAATTTATTCTCAAATAACAGTTTGTTACATGAGGCATGCCAGTTTACGGGCAAGATCAAATTGATACAAATGATAAAATATACACTGTATTAAATTACATTGCTGGGTTGAAAATTTATAAGACATGAATGTAGATTTATACGAATATTCGTCAAGATTAGAACGAATAGTTTGACAGTAATTGAGCGCCGAGTATAGAGAAGTCATTATATGTGAAAATTATATTTGAAATATTCTCAGCGATTGAAATTTAACTAATTCCAACGTTTCGTCCAGCTAACTTGTCTGGACTTCTTCAGGGTAATAATCAAAATCAAAATTATCAAAGAAATATATAGCTTTTAACAATCAGAATTATACTGTGTTAAACCAATCATATTTGGGTGTTGATTTTTTGTAAAATAGGATAAAATGAGTCAGTTGACTACAAATCATGTGATGAATTCAACTACATGGAAATACTTAACTGAGTAACAAATCGTATGTGTGTGAGTGTGTATGAATGTATGCATGTGTGAGAGATTGATATGAAGGAATAAATAAAGTTCAAGTTCAAGGATGAAAACTTGATAATGAAAGATCGATGTGCATGTCAAAACATAAATTGTATTGTTTAGAAACTCATTCAGTTCTTTCAATAATAATAACGATGCATGTGATATTAAAAACAGGTTTAAACAAGAGATAGGTTCCAAATTTACTTGTCAAACGGAATTTGCCAGGTAGTTGCCATTTGAATACCATCTTTTCGGTTCAGGCTGTTCTTGTTCGCCCATATATGCAGAGCTTCTGCTGTCAATCTTTCTTTATGGGTGTTAAAACCTTTCTGAAGTATTTTGGTCCCTTCAAAATTAATCTTGTGTCCTGTTTCTAACGCATGTAACGCTATCGCTGACTTATTTTCAAGTTTCTTTAAATCTACCGAGGATTTTGGAACATTTTTCAAGCATTGTTTGTGTTCCTTCATTCTTACATTTAATTGCCTGGATGTTTCTCCAACATAGGTAGCATTACAGTCATGACAGTGAATCTCATACACAATGTTCTGTTGTTCTTCCTTTGCTAACTTGTCCTTAACTTTCACCAATGTCGATCTTAATGTGTTATTTGCTCTAAAATACACTCTTATATCATGTTTGTTTAGAATCCGTTTGATTTCTTCTGATGTTTCACTCCGGTAAGGTATGACTACGGTGTACTTCCATTCTTTTCGTATACTTTCTAGTTTAGTTTTTCTTTCATTTTTAATAATCTTTTTTAAAAACCTTTTTGGGTAGTTGTTATCCCTAAGAGTAGAAAATACTTTATTTAATTCGGTTCTTTGATCTTCCTTGTCTGTAACAATCTTAGTACTTCTGTTCATTAGATTTTTCACTACATTAATTTTCGTGCTCTGTGAATGGGCTGAATTAAAATCCAAGTATCTCTCGGAATGCGTTGATTTTCTGTAAACATTTATTTTTAACTTCTTATTATTGTGTCGACGTTCAACCAGACAATCTAGAAATGCTAGTTTGTGGTCAACTGATTCTAATTCCTTAGTTAGTTTAATGTTTTCAGAAATGCTGTTTGCATTGTTAAATAGTTCTTCCATACCATCCCGTTTATTGATAATAAAAATATCGTCTACATACCTTAACCATAACTTTGGTGGACATAAACTCTTTGCGATTGCACTAGTTTCTAGGGAATGCATGAATAAATTCGCTACAATCGGAGAAACTGGTGAGCCCATTGCTATACCCTCTTTCTGTCTGTAAAGTTGACCTCGAAATATGAATAAGGTAGATCTTAAACATAATTCTAAGCATTTTATAACCTCTGATGGATCTAATGGGCATCGTAAATTCAAATCTAAATCAGATTCTAAACAATCATTGATAATATCAATTGCTCGACTGATAGGTACATTAGTGAATAAGGAAGATACATCAAAACTTGCCATTATTTCGTCTTCTTCTATTTCGATGGTATCAATTAAATTCTTGAATTCCATAGAGTTTTTAATTCCATGATTAATCCGTTTTTCATATGGTTTGAGAATCTTAGCTAAATATTTAGCTAGATTGTAAGTCGGTGAATTTGTATAGTCTACCACTGGTCTTAGTGGAGTATTATTCTTGTGGATCTTTGGTAGCCCATAAAATCTGCATGGATTACAACTCTTTGGATATAACATAAACCATAAGGACGATCCTAGCTTAGCTTTTAATGACTGTAAGAGTTTGCTAGTTTGCGCCTTGAGTTTATTAAGAGTTGTTCTACTTTTCGCTTCTTTGATTTGTTCATATGGACCCTCTTGTAGATGTTCTTTGGCTTTGTTCTCATACTCTGTTTTATTCATAATAACTGTAGTATTACCTTTATCTGCTCTCGTTATTATGATCGTTTTGTCCTCTCTCAGCTGTTTTAATGCGTAATATTCATTTTTATTTATGTTAGGGTTGTGAGGTTTCTGATGTAATAATGTGTTCATTATTTTATTCCTCAGTTCATTCGCTGTATCATTCGGGAGTATATTCAGCGCTGGTTCTACTGTTGGTATAACATTGAAAGGTGTTAATTTATGTCTATTTATATTGAAGTTGAGACCCTTTTTGAGTAATGATATTTCATGTGGGTTGAGAGGTCTATCCGATAAATTAACAATTATTTTATTCATATCATTTGTGTTAGATCTATTTTCCGTCTGTTGAACTTTGGTGTTTGATGAATGTTTCAATAGTTTTTCAAACTTCCTAATTTGTCGTTGTTTTGATGATTGATAATAAAATTGTTCCCTATGTTTGAAAAATTCAATTATATATGATCTTATTTCGTTCGGTGCGATAACTGACAATATGTCATCGATATTACAAACCCTTGAACGTAGTGCCTCCAAATCCATAGTGGCCTTGTGTATACGTTCTCTAATAAATGTTCTAGTGGCTGATATCGCCGCTTTGATTGACCGAATAGAATTGTCTGGAGATTTGACCATCAGAGTTTTTGGATAAACATTTTCTTTTAAGCATCGTATATTAAAAATTCTGTGATTGTACCAGTTATGTATTTTCTTTGATAATTTAATTCGATTGGAAAATAATTTATACGAATATTCGTCAAGATTAGAACGAATAGTTTGACAGTAATTGAGCGCCGAGTATAGAGAAGTCATTATATGTGAAAATTATATTTGAAATATTCTCAGCGATTGAAATTTAACTAATTCCAACGTTTCGTCCAGCTAACTTGTCTGGACTTCTTCAGGGTAATAATCAAAATCAAAATTATCAAAGAAATATATAGCTTTTTAACAATCAGAATTATACTGTGTTAAACCAATCATATTTGGGTGTTGATTTTTTGTAAAATAGGATAAAATGAGTCAGTTGACTACAAATCATGTGATGAATTCAACTACATGGAAATTCTTAACTGAGTAACAAATCGTATGTGTGTGAGTGTGTATGTATGTATGCATGTGTGAGAGATTGATATGAAGGAATAAATAAAGTTCAAGTTCAAGGATGAAAAACTTGATAATGAAAGGTCGATGTGCATGTCAAAACATAAATTGTATTGTTTAGAAACTCATTCAGTTCTTTCAATAATAATAACGATGCATGTGATATTAAAAACAGGTTTAAACAAGAGATAGGTTCCAAATTTACTTCCAAAATCCTCGGTAGATTTAAAGAAACTTGAAAATAAGTCAGCGATAGCGTTACATGCGTTAGAAACAGGACACAAGATTAATTTTGAAGGGACCAAAATACTTCAGAAAGGTTTTAACACCCATAAAGAAAGATTGACAGCAGAAGCTCTGCATATATGGGCGAACAAGAACAGCCTGAACCGAAAAGATGGTATTCAAACGGCAACTACCTGGCAAATTCCGTTTGACAAGTAAATTTGGAACCTATCTCTTGTTTAAACCTGTTTTTAATATCACATGCATCGTTATTATTATTGAAAGAACTGAATGAGTTTCTAAACAATACAATTTATGTTTTGACATGCACATCGATCTTTCATTATCAAGTTTTTCATCCTTGAACTTGAACTTTATTTATTCCTTCATATCAATCTCTCACACATGCATACATTCATACACACTCACACACATACGATTTGTTACTCAGTTAAGTATTTCCATGTAGTTGAATTCATCACATGATTTGTAGTCAACTGACTCATTTTATCCTATTTTACAAAAAATCAACACCCAAATATGATTGGTTTAACACAGTATAATTCTGATTGTTAAGAAGCTATATATTTCTTTGATAATTTTGATTTTGATTATTACTCTGAAGAAGTCCAGACAAGTTAGCTGGACGAAACGTTGGAATTAGTTAAATTTCAATCGCTGAGAATATTTCAAATATAATTTTCACATATAATGAATGTAGATTGTTCTAATCAGTTCTATAGTTGGCGTGCTTCACGAGGTTTGCGTTGCGAATGTGCGACTGACGGTCAAGAATAGGTCCATTGAAGGTATGAGCTTCTAGAAATCGCAACCTTATGTCCCTTTGGGATATCCAAGGCTTTAAGGATGGTGCAGGATGAAGTAACCTGTTCCATATCTCAAGGGGCTGAAAGAGAGGGGAAGTAAAAGAAAACACGAGAGGCAGAGTAGCCAATATTCATGTAGGAATGTTTAAGG